TCCACAGAATTGATAAATCATGAGGTTGTACCAGTCCCTGAGAGACGATACCCAGACTTTCCGGTTTTACTACGAGATAGGAATTGAAGCAATACGCTTTTGCCCTATCACAAGCAAACGTCTAAGTATGGGGAGTAATTCGGGTTAAAATGCACACAGTTTACCCCCTTTTCCTTAGATGTTTGAGGGGATTTCACCCAATGGGGTTTGGTTTTATGCTAGGTTGTGCTTCGTTTTGCTATGTTTCGGATCCTAGCAGCTAAATCAACCTCGAGAAAGAAAGTTGGATGAAAAGAAGCAAAAACGGTCCAAAAGGGGAGGACAACACGAGATCATGCTGTAAGCCAGCCGTTCATGGCCTGCTAGACCGTGAAGAAGCCTCCTGCCGTGAAATTCCTTATTTCTAGAGGGTTTTGCACACCTCACTTGACCTTGACTAGTTCACGATCGCTGGACTGTTGACACGCTAAAACACAACACCAAACTACGACCAAGTGTAATCGCAGTCCGGAAATGCAGTAAAGGGGCAAGTCTAATTATCAACCCGGGGTCTAGATCTACTGCCTACTCCGTGAATATCTATTATCTAGCCAACTGCTAAGAGCACCTCTCCCCCGTTGTCACCAACCGCTACTGGCGCCGCCTACTCAGCATTCGCGAGAAGGTTTACCACGAGCTCGTGCTCGAGTTCTATACTACCTTCGAGCACGCAGACACGGAGGATTGGAAGGACGGTGAAGCCGTCAAGTTCAGGCTCGGCGGTGAACCACGATCCATGAGCTACAACGAGCTGGCGAACGCCCTCGGCCTCAACCTGGTCGATGACAGGGACTACATCACCGAGAGCACCGAGCCAGCGGGGGTGGACTTCGGGACACTGTACACCCGCCTCGCTCGGCCAGGTCAGCTTCCCTTCAGGGCGGGGAAGACGAAGGCCAGCACATTGCAGCTCGACAACCGCATCCTCCATCACATGCTGGCCAAGTCTTACACTCCTGCCTCGGACAGTGCCAACGCCATCACCAAGAGAGCCATGTACTTCATCCAGTCTATGCGCCAGAGGGATCATCCCCTCCACTTGGGCTCGGTGGTGGCGAGGACCTTCGACAAGAGTGCTTCTGAGCTGAAGAAACTCCACTGCACCCCCTCATCACCCGCCTGGCAGCCTACTTCCACATATCCCTGCAGGGGTGTACAGAGCAGGGAGACACCAGTGTCTTTGGCCGGTTTACGATCAACAAAATGCACCTGCTTCGAGAAGTGCGAGGTGTTATGTGGATCGAGGGGTTTTCTCAACCTCCGATCCTAGAGGAGGTCCACCCGGAGGTTCCCGAGGGTGCGGCTGATGAGGAGGTACATCCCGAGGACGTGGATGATACTGCTGCCGCCCGCCCCACCACCTTCGAGTACGGGGGTGGCAGTTCCACCTTCCCCGGCCAGGACTACTTCACTCAGTAGTTCGAGCAGCTGCGTCTCCAGAATCAGTAGCTCTACGACTATCAGCTCCAGTTTCAGCAGCAGTATTCGGCTCACCATGCCGAGTACCAGACCCGGATGGCTGCGTATGATGAGCGCCTCGATAGGATGGAGACCCATCAGGGGGTGACCTTGGCGCGCATCGAGAGGGAGCAGGCCCGATCTAGGCGCATGCAGGAGGTCCAGGGGCATCTGCTCCAGCTGCTACCGAGCGAGCAGCCAGTCTGGAGGACTCCAGGGGAGGACTCTCCACTTCCACCTCCACCAGCTGATGACGATGATGCATTCATGAATGACATCGACCTGGACAACCTTGGCGACGAGTAGGCTGTACTTGTCGCCCCTCAGTGTGTGTTTTGATTTAGACTTTTTCTGTTTGCTCCATGTTTTTGAGGAGCTTGAACTGAGTTTGTTGTGTGTTTTGTTTCTTTTCTTTTGTGGATTGTTTCTTTTGTGGCCATCTGGGCCAACTCTTATCCCTAACGAACATGTGCTAGTGTGTTCTTGATGTTCCCTTAGTGCAGAACTGTCCGTTCGTTCCATATGTCCCACGCTGACCGGTCCACTTCCAGTCTCCCGCAGCATTTCAATCCGGTAACATCGTTCCCCTTCTCTATCCCTCTGCTCCATTGAGGGCAATGTCGTGCTTAAGTGTGGGGGGTGCTTTGTATCGGTTGGAATTTATATACGTGTGCTTGGAGCCTAGTCCGCTGTCCAAATCTCGAGATTTGAGGGCTCCAAGTACGGCTGTTTGATCATATTGGCACTGTACTTTGATTGGTGAATTGAATGGTTTTTGGATTAATGCATGACAACTGGATGGTGATTAGGACAACCTATAATGATGACTGAGACGTGCAGTAGAATTGTGTAGGGTTCAGTTTTTCAACTGTTTGCTTACCAACTGTGACTTGGATTGATTACTTGTTCTTGACAGTCTCTGATGCATCTAGTTCAGGGAATCAGAATGAGAGATAGAGCATATAGGTAGCCATGTGAGATTTGAGCCTGCTCGTTTCTTTCTTGTGCGATAGTTCCCTCTTCCATGATATGTAGCATTCACCTTGTCATTAGCTAAGATGATGGAGGCATAGGATTAGCCCACGACCAAATTGACTGTCCTGGTGTGTCATACCCCCTAGTCAGCCCCTTTGAGCCGTGTGTTATCCTTTCTTTCGGTCTTCAATGAAAAGTCACCCTTTTGCATCTTTTAGAAGGTTCCACAGAGTGATTTTTACATGTTCTCTGCTGTTTCTGCTAAATGTAATGTGAGAGTTGGAGGTAGTTCTTAAAAAGTTGGGCAGGTGTTTGAAAATGTGCAGAGGTGGTGGTTCTCTTAAGAAATGAAAAAAAATTAAAGAAAAACAAAGAAAAAATGAAAGCAAAAGAGAGCCACCACCAAAAATCTGAATAGTGCCCACTAAGTAGTGTTTCTTAGCAGTCTGGCTTAGAAATACTGGTATTTATGTGACCTCCTTCGCTCTTGTTCTCTGAAGAATTTGAGTAATGCAGAATGGCAGAAAGAAAGTACTGGTTTGATTGACTGTGAGTTTGTTGGGTTTGGAATTTTGGAACCTTGTGCTATGAATACTTCCACCACCTAAAAGGCCTTTTCCCCATGTCCAAGACCCTAGCCAGTCATTTGAACCTGTGTCTAAGTCCTCCTGATTAGTTAGTGATGACAACCATTTATGTGAACTCTAACCTTTAGAGGCCGACGTCATGGTGAAGAGATGTTAGGAATTGAGAGAATTAGTATGCGCATTTTTCGCATCAAATTGTCCTGACCCCACTTGTCGAGAGTGAGCGATTCATTTCCTTGTTCTTTACACTCTTTACCCGGTGAGGACCTAGATGGCTCGGTCTTGATTCTGATGTCTTGAGTTTTATGCATGAGTTGACTGTCTTGAGTGAGTGATTGAGTCAAGTCTAGGTTGGTTCATGAACAGTAGGGAGACTCCTCCTTTACTCGATTTTGCTGCACTCGAATGTCTTCTGTGGTGGTTGTCCAGGTTGCTATTGAGGTTGTTCAGGTGTTGATGTTTGAAAACCAGTATGATTCACGTGTTTCTGTGCCTATATGATTTGACCCCAATGTTGGTATGATTGAAATATGTGTGCTTACCTTGTGTCTGACTTGGTTTGCTTGGGGACAAGCAAACAGTTAAGTGTTGGGGAGTTTGATAAGCCGTTAATTGCACATGATTTTACCCCTATTCTGGAGCCGTTTGAGATGGTAATTCTCGTGTTTTAGGCTGATTTCACGCTAGGTTGTGTTTGTTTGTGATATTTCCGGTCCTAGCAAGTGAATGAAGGTTTAGGAGCGAGTTCGGGGTCGATTGGACGAAGATCGGGCGCGAGGCAAGTAAAAAAGGAAGCCACACGGGCACACACAGGAACCACACGGCCGTGCAAGTGACCAATTTGGCCGTGTGGGATTGTGCGAGCCTTCACACGGCCAGCCCTGATAGTCACACGGCCGTGTGAAGTTGCACTTTGGCCGTATGGAATTTTGCGAGGCTTCACACGGCCAGGCTGGGTGAGCTACACCGCCGTGTGACCCTGGCCGTGTAAGAAGCCTGAAATCCAATTATTCGGAACGCGCGTTTTGACCTCACACGGGTAACTGGGTATGCCACACGGCCGTGTGGGCCTGCCCGTGTGAGTCGGGAATTTCTGGTTTTTACCCAATTTCGGGCTGCAAGTGGGAGAATCGGATTTTCAGAGCAAAAACAGAGCTCTAAAGAGAGAAAGTACGAAGAACACATCCTAGAAGCTATCTTGGAGTTGGGTTTCATCAAATCGAGCTTGGAGATCGTCATAGGAGTGGAAATCATCATCCTAGAGCAGATTTTCCTCATCTTTATGAGTATGACTACTCTGTATTCTGTTTCCCTCTCTCTCTCTATGGAGTAGAAACCTTCTCTCACTTGGGTATGAAGAACCCTAGTTCCATGTGTTAGGGATTTGATTGTAATGACTTGGGATGATATTACTGCTTGGTTTTAATCGAATGATGCATGTTTATCGAGTCAATTGAAGTCTGATCAGCTTTTCCTGATTTCTGCTGCAACCTGAGATAGATAGAATCTTATTAGGTTGTTAGAGCCTCATCATTCGGTAGTAGGAGATTGGCTATGCGAGAGTTAGCCAGTTTACTTCTTTGTACTGGAATCCAATTCCAATAGTGGAGTTCTGTGCTTATTGCTTTAGCTTTCTATCCCGGTGAAGACTAGTCGTTTGCCGGGTAGTTAGACTGAGAGAGCTTGGTCAGTTTAAGAGATTCCAAGCTACTGTCGGATCTTCCGCAGTCTAATCAACAGTAAATCAACCCAGGGAAAATACAATTGAAACCTAACTAAGGAGCTAGGGGGACTCATTCCCGAGTGACTCTTCTTGCTTGAGAAAACCGTACCAATTCCTGCTTTCTTTCTGCTTTTGCTTAAAACAACAAACACTTAACTTAGTTGGCTAGATAATAGATACTCACGGAGTAAGTAGTAGATCTAGACCCCGGGTTGATAATAGAACTTGCCATTTTACTGCATTCCCGGACTACGATTACACTTGGTCGCAGTTTGGTGTTGCGTTTTGGCGTGTCACACAGCTGGTGGAACTAGTGAGTGAAGTAGTCTTGGGCTAGGAAAGTGGAACTGCTACCCCCGTACTCGAAGGTGGTCGTGCGGGGGGCAGCAGCATCATCCACATCCTCGGGGTGGACATCCTCAGCAGCCTCATCCTCAGGAGCATCGGGCTGGTCCTCCGCGGGAATCTAATGTTCAGGAAACCCCGCGATCCACTTGATGCCGCGCTCGACTCGCAGCAGGTGCATACTCTTGATCGTGTCTTCGCCAAAGACACTAGTGCCCCCCTGCTCTGTGCAACCCTACAGTGATATCTGGAAGTAGGTGGCCAGTCGGGTGATGAGGGGAGTGCAGTGGACTGTCCCCAGTGTTGTAGCACTCTTGTCCAGAGTCCTGGCCACCACAGAACCTAGGTGGAGGGGATGGTTCGCCTTGAGGGTGTTGGCACTGTCCCCAGCTGGAGTGTAGGAATTCGCCAGCATGTGGTGGAGAATGCGGTTATCGAGCTGCAGGGTGCTGGCCTTCGTCTGCCCCGCAACGAAGGGACGCTGGCCAGGCTGAGCTAGGCGGGTGTACAGCGTCTTGAAGTTAACACCCACTGGATCGTTGAGCACGGTGACGTAGTCCTTATCATCGTCCAAGCCGAGGTCGAGAGCGAATGCCAAGTCGTGGTAGCTCATGGGGCGGGGCACACCGCCGAGCCTGAACTTGACAGCTTCACCGTCCGTCTAGTCCTCTGTATCTTCGTGCTTGAAGGTCGTGTAGAACTCGAGCACCAACTTGTGGTAGACCTTCTCTCTAATGTACAGCAGTCGGCGCCAAGGGCGGTTGGTGGAAATGGCGAAGAAGTGGTCGTATCAATGCAGCTTCTCAAACTCCCTCATGGACCAGTAGTGATGGTTCCCAAACAAGCAGGCCAGGACGCGCTTAAAGCGATCTTGGTGGGGGCCCCTCTTCAGATCCCAGATGAACTGGTGCTTGAGGTCGGGCTTCGTCATGGTCCTGCAAAAGAACAACCCAAAGTGGAGCCAAAAGAGCCATAGACAAGGTTAATCATACCCCCACACTTGAGAACAGAAAACAGCCGAACCATGGTTTCATCCATAGTTCGGGGGTCAATAACTCGATCAAACAAGCATAATCTGGGTTGGGATGCACATCCACAATGAAGTAGGCAACTTAAGGTTCACATCCATAGCAAATACACCATCAAAGCACATCATTAAGGGCCCCAACTGGTTCCCACAACATGGTATGAAAAACTGGCATTTCATCGAACACCTTGTGTGCACTATTAAGTTAAGCATGGAATTGGCAAATTTCTAGCGCACAAGGGCTCAAACAAGCATGGGGGACATTAACCAACACAATTCACACATAAACCAAGCCTTCCCCTCAATCAATTGCACACAATTCACACATTGCAAAGTTGTCCTCTAAACATACACCCTAACACCCAATTTTCCACAATTCACAAGGTAAAGGGAAAAATCAAACTTGGAGACACAAGTAGAGGTGTAGGGGATGATGAGGGGAAGGCAATGGAAACGACGAAAATCCCAAAATCTGCCCGGAAATGCTCGTCAGAGCCTCGCCGGAGTCTCGTTGGAAATCGCCTCCGGCGCCTCAAAATCTGTCCAAATCGCCTCCAAATCGAGGGATAGGCAGAAAATGGGGAGGAAAGGTTGGGTGTGGTGTTGGTTTGGTGAAAAATCGACCAAAAATGTCCGTAAAATCCCCAAAGAGGTGAAAAGTCGCGGTTTTCCAGTGAGGGGGAGAGGATTCCGGCGAGGCGAGTTGGATTTTCTGGCGACGCGGCCGTGTGGTTTGAATTTATAGGCGCTGGTTCGACCACACGAGCATGCTCACACGGTCGTGTGAGGTGCAATGGCGCCCGTGTGTGGCCGAGAAAACCACACGGCCTCGCCGTGGAATTTTCACACGGTCGTGTGAGGTGCAATATTGGCCGTGTGGAAATCACCGAGCCTTCACACGGCCAAAGCCCAAAACCACACGGCCGTGTGAGGGACCCCTCCTACCCGTGTGAAAATTCCAGGGCCTCCACACGGCCAGAAGCCAATTCCACACGGCCGTGTGGGATTTAGGCCTGGGCGTGTGGAATTCCACAACCCCGAATTTGACCTGTTTTCGCGCAAAATCGACATTCGACCCTTGGACAACACCTCAAGACTCAAAAACACAAAAAATCAAAAGGAAAAAGGAAAGATAATGCAAACCTAGGTGGGGTTGCCTCCCCACAAGCTCTTATTTACCGTCTTTTAGCTGGACGTCAGTAGGGTGGATGCTCAGAGAGGTGAAGGAACAGGTTCCTCCAAGAGCGGATCCACATCGCTCTTGAGGTACAGCTTCAGGTGGTGGCCATGCACACGATGAATGTGGCCACCAGCACTCGTCAACTCGACCTGGCCATCCGGCAGGATGCAAGTGAGTGAATACTCGGATGGCCAAGGCAGTCGAGGCTCAGGAGGCGGGACCAGCTCGTAGTGGTCTCCGGTTTTCTTGTGAGCAGGCTTAGCTACCTGCAGCTTCGGCCGCCACTCCTCCTTGATCTTGTCTTTAGGTAACGGAGTGGATGGGAGTGGCGGCGAAGATATGTGAGAGGGGTCATGCAAAATGGGAAGCACAGAAGGATACACGACAGACTCGTGCTCCTGGTGAGAAACAGCATGCAAAGGCGATGAAGCAGGGAGAGTATTATCAATGGAAAAGGTTATTCGCTCCTCTCCATCCCTCAAGACTAAGGTCCCATCATGTACATCTATTAGAGCCTTGGCGGTGGCTAGGAAAGGCCTTCCCAGTATAAGGGGCACTTCTATGTCCTCATTGATGTCCAAGACAACAAAATCCACAGGATAAACGAATCTGCCAACCTTAACCATAAGGTCTTCCACTATGCCCCTAGGGTGAACTATAGATCGGTCAGCTAATTGAAGACTCGTCCTAGTTGCACGGGGTTCACCTAGGCCTTGTTTCTTAAACAATTTATATGGCATGACATTGATACTAGCACCTAGATCTGCCAAGGACCTCTCTACATGCAATTTACCTATAGAGCACGGGATAGTAAAATTACCTGGGTCCTTCTGCTTCGGCAGAAGCTTGTTCTGCAGAATGGCCGAGCACTGCTCGCTGAGCTCCATAGTGGCCAGCTCGCTCAGCTTCTGCTTCTTTGAGAGAAGATCTTTCAGAAACTTCGCATACTGACTCACTTCTACTATCACTCCAGGAATTGGCCAAGTGAAACCACTTCCTAAAGCGTAGTATAGCGGCCTTAGGTTTAAATGTCAACCCGGGTCCTAGATTTGATGACTACTCGGTGAATTCTTGTTATCTAGCAATGAAACTTTAATGCAAGTCTAAGCTAACAAACTAACAAAGCAAGTAAACTGTTGTATTCAGGTTAAGAGAGGTCACCCGGATATGGTTCCCCCTAGACTGCAGTTAAGCCGGATTGTAATTACCAAGTTCAGTTTCTATGATAGTTATACTGCGGAAGGTTCTTAAACAGCCTGAAGTCTCGACTAAAGGTCTTCAGACCCTCTCAATATGAGTCTCTAGCGGGCGACTAACCTCCACCGGAGTAAACAGATTGAGGCCTTAACAAACAAAACCTCCACTACCGGAGTAAATCCGGTACAGAATAGTGAGTTGGCTCCTCGACTAAAGTCACCAACTCCCTACCTTCAATCAAGAATGCTCTATCAACCTAGGCAGATATTCTCATTCTAGGTTAAAGCAGAAACAACAGGAATTTGATCAGGATTCAAGTCATTCAATCATTCAAACCTCAATCGAATATAATCAATCATAGAATCAGTACTTGGGTTCATACAATCAAAGCCTAACATACAAATCTAGGGTTCTCCATACCCAGATGAATGGGAGAACTACTCCATGGAGAAAGAAGCAAAAGCATAATCAGACGCGGAATTCATACTATGAAGGATGGATTCCTGCTCCTGGACGTTGATCGACACTTCTCCAAGCTCAAACTGGCCTCCAATGGTGTTGAAGATCAATCTAGGGCACTTGGAGACTCTTTTTCGTCACTTTCTCTCTCTAGGAATCGTTCTATCTCTCTCAAAACTCGAATCCCCTTCTGTTTGGCTGAAAATCTGCTTAAAAGGGCATCAGTGGCCAAAGCACGGTCGAGGACACGATCGTGCTTTGCCTCAGCCCGCCCGTGCTTTAGCTAGGGTTAATTACACGGCCAATGTGTTGGTGCAAACACGGCCGTGCTTTGGGAGAACACGGCCGTGCTTTCAGCCCGTGTTTTGGCTTGAATTTGCCAAACTCAATTAGCTCTCGGCAGTAAAAGCACGGTCACAGAACACGGCCGTGTTTTGTTTTAGGTGTGCCCGTGTTTTGGCTCCAGCTCGACGAAATGACTTCTGAATGCCCCGAAACTCGTGCTTAGCCTTTCCTTTGACGTCTGGGACCTGAAATATGACAAAATAGCACAACCCGGCGTAAAATAGGCCAAAAATACACGACTATGCCCCTCAAACGGATAAGAACTAGGGGCGCAAATATGTGCAATTACATCGTTATCAAACTCCCCCACACTTAACCGTTTGCTTGTCTCCAAGCAAACCTAACTCAAACCAATGCAACTCTCCAGACCTCTATAGCAACAAACAACCCAGATCGTAGGTAGAGGACTTCCTAGATCATTTAGCAGCTTACGAGGTCAACCGACGCACAAGTCATCTCATAGCTTCTTCGCCGAGAGCACTAGTATCGAGTCGGCATCATGGCAAATAGTGAACAGAGGACAAATGAATTGTGGATGAAGAAATTCTCAAAAACAAAGGATCATGGACTCACATTTTTCAAGGTGCTCTATTTTCTTCTTGAAGATGGTTGGAACCCCTTTTCTTTCTGTTTTGCTTGTTTTCTGTTATTTTTTTCTTCTCTTTTTTTCAAGGGTCCCAACCTGCTCTTACCGGCCATGCCAGGAGCGGATGTCTCGAGCCTCGTGCGGGGGAAAGACATGTAAGGGGGCTGGAGGTAGTAGGTGGCAATTGGGAACGAATTCCCGTCTCCCCTCACACACTTCCGCCCTATTCGCACGGGAGACGTTATTCTAAAGCACATTTTCGAGCACCTGTTATTTTCAAAACATGATACAAGAGTCCATGAAAAGTAGAGAGTCCACAACACCACACAATTCAAGGGTCCTAAGATCACTAATTCACTCAATCAACCAACACAATATGAAGAAGAAATGAGAATTCTTAAATGCATCAACATCCTCCATAGTGCTACACTACCTCCCTAGGTTGCATATTACTATAAAGACTGTCAATTCAAAGCATACTGAGCAGGCAATTGCAAGGAACACGTACTTGGAGCCCTCAAATTTAAAAATTTGGACATTGGACTAGGCTCCAAGCACACAAACAGGTCTAATGCAGTCAAAAGATAAACATCCCCCCACACTTAAGATCGACATTGCCCTCAATGGAGAAGAGGGAAGGGAAAGGGGAACGATGTTACCGGTATGCACGGACTGTAGGGGACTGGAAGCGGATCAGTCAAGCCAAGCACAGCTAAAGGAAACCAAAGAGCTCAAGCACAATATGTTAGGTCCAATGTCAGCCCAATAAGACATCATCCAAAACAAAAGAAAACAAACCAAAACCAAGAGCGGATCCTCAGGGAGGTGCAGGAACAGGTGCCTCCAAGAGCGGATCCACGTCGCTCTTGAGGTACAGCTTCAGGTTGTGGCCATGCACCCGACGGATGCGACCACCATCATCGGTCAGCTCGACCTGGCCATCTGGCAAGATGCAGGCGAGTGAGTACCCGGACGGCCAGGGTGGTCGTGGTGCAGGAGGTGGGATCAGCTCATAGTGGTCTCCACCGTTCTTCCGTGCAGGCTTGGCAACCTGCTGCTTCGGCCGCCACTCCTCCTTGATCTTTTTGTTCGGAGGCGAGGCTGGATGGAGTGGCAGCGAAGGAATGATAGGAGGGTCCTGCAAAATAAGAGGTGCAGAAGGATACACGACAGGCTCGTGTACCTGATCAGAAATGGCATGCACAGGTGTGACAGCAATCATAGCACAGTGATCAAATTCAGTCACAGAAAAAGTAGCCTGTTCATTCCCAGCACGCAGGATCAGTTTACCATCATGCACATCAATAAGTGCCTTGGCAGTGGCAAGAAATGGTCTACCCAGAATCAAAGGTACATCCACATCCTCATGTATATCAAGAATAACAAAATCAACAGGATATGTGAATGCACCGACACTGACAAGCAGATCCTCTATGATTCCCCTAGGATGCACAATGGAACGATCAGCCAGCTGAATGCTCATCCTAGTAGGGCTAAGTTCACCTAGGTCTAGCTTTTTATACAACTTATATGGCATGACGTTTATGCTAGCGCCTAGGTCCGCCAAGGACTTGCCTACATGCATGCTGCCAATAGTAAGAGGGATAGTAAAACTCCCTGGGTCTTTTCGCTTCTCGGGCAGCTTGTTCTGCAAGATAGCAGAACACTCCTCACTGAGCATCACTGTCGAAAGATCCCCAAGTTTCTTCTTGTCGGTGAGGAGGTCTTTCATGAACTTGGCATACTTGGGCATCTTCGACAGTGCCTCCACGAACGGTATGCTGATGTTGAGCTGCTTCAACATTGCCATAAACTTGGCAAACTCAGTCTCCAGCTTGTCTTTGTGTAGGCGAGTGGGGAAGGGGAGCTGGGGTACATGCTCCTTAACCACTGGTTGTGGCTTGGGAGCAGGAGCTTCCTTCTCCACCCGCACTTCTGCATCGTCGGCTGGAAGTGCTGAAGCAGGTACTGGTTCCTCCTGTCTGGCCGGGACAGGATCAGCAGATATGGTCTTACCGCTCCTGGTAAAAATGGCATCCAACTGCTGGAGCTGGTGAGGATCCCGAGGATTCGGGATAGTGGTGGCAGGCAGAGTCCCCGGTGCCCTGGTAGTGTTTTGGCGGGCCAAGATGCCCACCTGGGTCTGCAGATCTTGCAAAATGGCGCCCTGGTTCCGCTGACCTGCCTCCAGTGACGTGATAGCTGCCTGAGTGCTAGTCATGAATGAGGCTAGAATATTTTCCAGCTTTGTCATCCGGTCATCTGGGGCTGGAGCTGCTGCTGGCTCAGCAAACTGGCGTTGGGGCTGCTGGAATGGTTGCCCCTGCCTAGGCTGGTAGGGCTGCTGCTGTGGGGCTGGCCCCTGTCGAGCCTGGAAGGGCTGCCTTTGCGGAAAACCACCGGCTGGTGCTGGGAAACCAGGTGGTTTAGTGGTGTTGCTGCTCCAGGCCAAGTTGGGATGCTGGCGCCACCCCTCATTATATGTGCTGCTGTACGGGTCGAGGCGCCGAGCATTGGCGATGAAGTCCAACTGCTCTTGGGGAGTAGTAGACTCCCTCATAGCCTGGCAGTCTTCCACTAAGTGATTCGAGCTCTCACACCACTGACATTGAACAACTGGAGGTGTAGCCAAACCTCTGCCCGGAATAAGACTGTTGGGCTGCTTCAATGTCTGCACTAGCTCAGCTACCTGCTGCTCGAGCCCGGATCTGGTCTCCATGGCGTGCACACCACGGTCCCGGGAATGTCTTCCTCTGCTACTCTGTCCCCAGGAATGATCTCTGGCAGCCAAGGTATTGATCATCTGGTTCAGCTCGGGTGGAGTCTTAGTAAGAATATCCCCTCCTGGGCATAGAGACTCAATCACCCTCTGGCTGTCTGGAGAGAGAGCACTGTAGAAGTTCCCCACTGTGAAAGCATCGCTAAAGCCATGATGGGGACACTGCCAGAAGTATCCCATGTACCGCTCCCAAGCATCACGAAGTGACTCATCTGGCTCTTGGAGGAAGTGAGTGATCTCCCGCTGGATCTCTGTAGTCTTCGATGCCGGATAGTACCTGTGCACGAATTTGTCAGCCAGATCGTCCCAAGAGGTGATGGACAGTGGGGGCTGGGTCTCCAACCACCTCTTAGCATTCCCCTCCAGAGAATGGGGGAAGAGATGAAGGCGGATTGCATCATCAGGGACACCATTCAGCTTGAACCCGTTCGTCAGCTGCAGAAAACGGGAAAGATGCACCCTGGCCTCCTCATCCTTCAAGCCATGGAAATGGATAGAAGATGTAATGAGCTGAATCCAGCATGGCTTGATCTCGAAGTTGTTTGCTGGAATAGGCGGGTAGAGGATGACCGGGCGGATGTCAGCAATCCGAGGAGTGGAGTAGTACTCCAAGGTGGGACCCGGCGGCGGTGGATGATGAACCCCATGATCCTGGGGTATGGGGTTGTTCCCCAGGACCTGATTCACCGGGGGAGCCTGCTGAGGATTCCCCTGGTGCTGATTGTAGTCTCCGTCCATCCCGTACTCTTCTTTAGAATCGCTACTCAGGTGGCCGTCTATGCTCTCTTCCATAGCCAGTCTAGCTCGCTGTTGTCTCCTGAGTTGGCGACAGGTGCGATCAATCTCTGAATTCAACGGCAGTAAACCTCCAGACTGGCTACGGGCCATGCACTACCTGCACACACTCAAGCAAGCAAACCCGTGAAGGCACAAGTGGGACAAAGCAAACAAAACAAAAAGAAAAGCTAAATTAATAGAAATCACTTTTCTTCAACAACCTAGCCGTCCCCGGCAACGGCGCCAAAAACTTGACTCACTTCTACTATCACTCCAGGAATTGGCCAAGTGAAACCACTTCCTAAAGCGTAGTATAGCGGCCTTAGGTTTAAATGTCAACCCGGGTCCTAGATTTGATGACTACTCGGTGAATTCTTGTTATCTAGCAATGAAACTTTAATGCAAGTCTAAACTAACAAACTAACAAAGCAAGTAAACTGTTGTATTCAGGTTAAGAGAGGTCACCCGGATATGGTTCCCCCTAGACTGCAGTTAATCCGGATTGTAATTACCAAGTTCAGTTTCTATGATAGTTATACTGCGGAAGGTTCTTAAACAGCCTTAAGTCTCGACTAAAGGTCTTCAGACCCTCTCAATATGAGTCTCTAGCGGGCGACTAACCTCCACCGGAGTAAACAGATTGAGGCCTTAACAAACAAAACCTCCACTACCGGAGTAAATCCGGTACAGAATAGTGAGTTGGCTCCTCGACTAAAGTCACCAACTCCCTACCTTCAATCAAGAATGCTCTATCAACCTAGGCAGATATTCTCATTCTAGGTTAAAGCAGAAACAACAGGAATTTGATCAGGATTCAAGTCATTCAATCATTCAAACCTCAATCGAATATAATCAATCATAGAATCAGTACTTGGGTTCATACAATCAAAGCCTAACATACAAATCTAGGGTTCTCCATACCCAGATGAATGGGAGAACTACTCCATGGAGAAAGAGGCAAAAGCATAATCAGACGCGGAATTCATACTATGAAGGATGGATTCCTGCTCCTGGACGTTGATTGACACGTCTCCAAGCTCAAACTGGCCTCCAATGGTGTTAAAGATCAATCTAGGGCACTTGGAGACTCTTGTTCGTCACTTTCTCTCTCTAGGAATCGCTCTATCTCTCTCAAAACTCGAATCCCCTTCTGTTTGGCTGAAAATCTGCTTAAAAGGGCATCAGTGGCCAAAGCACGGTCGAGGGCACGATCGTGCTTTGCCTCAGCCCGCCCGTGCTTTGGCTAGGGTTAATTACACGGCCAATGTGTTGGTGCAAACACGGTCGTGCTTTGGGAGAACACGACCGTGCTTTGGGAGAACACGGCCGTGCTTTCAGCCCGTGTTTTGGCTTGAATTTGCCAAACTCAATTAGCTCTCGGCAGTAAAAGCACGGTCACAGAACACGGTCGTGTTCTGTTTTAGGTGTGCCCGTGTTTTGGCTCCAGCTCGACAAAATGACTTCTGAATGCCCCGAAACTCGTGCTTAGCCTTTCCTTTGACGCCTGGGACCTGAAATATGACAAAATAGCACAACCCGGCGTAAAATAGGCCAAAAATACACGACTATGCCCCTCAAACGGATAAGAACTAGGGGCGCAAATATGTGCAATTACATCGTTATCACATACTTAGGCATTTGAGATAGTGCCTCCAGGAAGGGGACTTGGACATTCAGCTTCCTAAGCATGGACATGAAGTTTCCGAACTCTGCTTCTAGCCTGTCTTTGTGCAACCCAGTAGGGAAGGGGAGTTGAGGGATATACTCCTTCACTACTGGTTGCGGCTTAGGCGCAGGCACCTCAACCTCCTTCTCTGCTTCTTCTTCAACCGCTAGAGATGCCGAGGCAGGTCTACCTTGCGCTTGTCTGGCCAGGAAAGGTGGGTCTACAGTCTCTTTGTCGCTCCTTGTTGTGATGGCATTGCAGTGGGAATTTGGGTCCTTCGGATTAGCAATGGTATGACCTGGCAAGGTACTTGAAGCCCTCTGCGCCATTGCTTGAGCCACACTCCCCAGCTGGGTTTGGATATCCTGCAAGATAGCCTGTGTGTTCCTCTGGCCAGCTTCAAGAGCCAGGAATTTACCCGAGGCCTTTTCCATGAACTCTCGATAGTGTTGAATTTCTTGGCACTTGAACTGGCAAGAGAACCCACCAAGTCTCGCAATTCAGCCATCGGATCATTCTGCACTGGGGTTGCACCTGGCTGCTGGAAAGGTCGCGGCTGTGGTTGAGCAGCATGCCCCTGCATGGGCTGGTAGAGAGACTGCTGCTGCTGGAATTGCCCCTGTTTGGGATGATATGGCGCCCTCTGGAAGCCTGGCGGTCCTTGGGAGGCTGGTGATCTAGAATTGGCCCCAGCCCAGAAGAAGTTGGGATGTTGGTGCCACTCCTCGTTGTACGTGTTACTGTAGGGGTCATTGCGTCTAGCATTATTGATGAAGTTCACCTGCTGCTGGGGTGTGGTCGACTCCCTCATCGCCTGGCAGTCTTCCAACGTGTGATGGGTGCTCTCGCACCACTGGCAGTGCATCGCTTGCTGCTGCCCGGTCCCTGGAATCATCCCAGAGTGATCGATGGCTGAAACCAGCTTCGATACCACCTGCACCAAATCCGCGGTCATAGCCATGCTCTGCCATCTCTTCAAAAAGTTGATTCAGCTGTGGCGGTGTTTTGGTGAGCAAATTTCCCGCCACAGACCGAGTCAATCAGTTGCTTGTCTTCCGGGAAGAGGGCATGGTAGAAGGTGCCCACCTTGAAGGCGTCAGTAAAACCATGGTTGGCACACTTGAGGAAGAGACTGGTGTATCTCTCCCAAGCATCCCGGATGGTCTCATCTTCATCCTGAGCAAAGTGGGTAATTTGCTTCTGCAGGTCCGCCGTCTTGGACGGGGGATGGTAGCTAGTGAGGAACTTGTCCGCCAGGTTCACGAACGTGGTGATCGAGCCTGCAGGTCGAGTGTCTAGCCACTCCTTGGCCTGCCCCTCTAGAGTAAATGGGAAGTACCTCAGCTGGATGGCGTCAGCTGGGACCCCATTTATCTTAATTCCATCGATGAGCTAGTGGAATCGCCTCAGATGTGATCGGGGGCACTCCCCCTCCTTGCCTCGGAACACCACCGAACCTCGCAGCATGGTGATGAGCAGAGGTGCTCACCTCAAAGTTATTCGTTGGCACATGAGGGTGCTGAATGGGCAACCTCATGTCTGCGGCTCTGGCGGTCTAGTAGTATCCCATGGTCTGCTCCTCAAGACGGACCACATCATGGTCTTGTGGATCACCCATCTCTTCTTCGTCGACGATTTGCAGCTGTGCTAGCGCCTCCTCCGTAGTCAGTCGCGCCTTTAGAGCCCGCTTGAAGTTCCTACAGGTCTGTTCAAGCTCCTAGTCTAATGGTAGTAAATCTCCCGACTGGCTACGGGTCATGCACTACCTGCACACAATCAGCAAAAGCAACCCGTGAAGGCACACAGGTGGAAGAGAGAAAATGTAGTAAATTTTCACGTTTCTCCAATAACCTAGGGGTCCCCGGCAACGGCGCCAAAAACTTGACACGCTAAAACACAACACCAAACTGCGTCCAAGTGTAATCGCAGTCCGGAAATGCAGTAAAGTGGCAAGTTCTAATTATCAACCCGGGGTCTAGATCTACTGCCTAAGAGCTATTGGACTTTTCGGAGCAAAAATAGAGTACTAAAGAGAGAAAGTGACGAAGAACAAACCCTAAGGGCTATTTGGGGTGGATTTCTCACCATTGAAGCCCAGATTGTGTCTCCAGGAGTGAAGATTGACATCCCATAGTAGATTATTCCCATCTTTATGAGTATGACTGCTATGATTTCTGTTTTCCTCTCTCCCTCTATGGAGTATACCTTTCTCTCACTTGGGTACGAAGAACCCTAGTTCAATGTGTTAGGGATCTTGATTGTAATGACTTTTGGGATGATATACTGATTGGTTTTAATCTATTGAAGTGTGTTTATTGATTCAATTGAATCCTGGTCAACTTTTTTTGATTTCTGCTTCAACCTATGATAGATAGAATCTGATTAGGTTGTTAGAGCTTCTTCAATTGATATGAGTGAATTGATTATATGAGAGTCAGTCAATTCACTTCTTTAACTAGAATATGTATCCAGTAGTGGAGATCTGTATGAATTGCGTTAGCATTTTATCTCGGTGAAGGCTAGTCGCCTGCCGAACAGTCTGTCTAAGACGGCTTGGTAAGCTTAAGAGATTCCAAGCTATTTTTGGATCTTCCACAGTCTAATCAACAGTGAATCAATTGAAGGGAATTACAACTTGAACCTAACTAAGGAGCTAGGGGGACTCATTCTCGAGTGACTCTTCTCTTGCTTCAGAAAACTGGACCACTTACTGCTTTCTTTCTGCTTTAGTTAAAACTCAGTCTCACTCATCTTTCCCGGCTAGATAATCACAGAATAGGCAGTACATCTAGGCATTGGGTTGATTTTTATTATTTGATCCCACTATACTGCATTTCCATTATGCGATTACACTTGGTCGCAATTTGGTGTTGTGTCTTAGCGAGTCAGGTTCCTCCTCCCCGGCAGGAAAGAGCTCAGGCCCGCAGCCGTCGCCGCCGTGTTGCACCACCATCATTAGTAGCATCATCTTCGGCGGGAACTAGACCTTCCTCTTCCATAGTCCACCTAAAGGATCGAGTCACTCACCTCGAGGAGCAGTTTGTAGGAGTTAACACCAGGTTGGATCAATCCACTGACTTGCTGGAGCGGATTTCTCGCAACCAAGGTGTCTTGACAGACTAGGAGCAGTGAGGTAGTTCACCGAATGAGACATGTGGCAGAGCCGATTTCTTTTGCCCCAATTCTCCACTTGAAACTATGAACTTTGTTATCTTTTCTTTTCTTTAGTTTGTGTGTAAACAACTACTATCGTGATGTCGACTATTATTATCGAGCGAGAATGTGTGTGTGTGTGTGTGTGTGTGTGTGTGTGTGTTCTTCTTCTTTTTAAAGCTCAATTCTCCTACCCCGGTATGTGTCCAACTTTCGCTTGCCATTGGTCAGTAACTTCTTCACCCTACCTTTTTTCTCCATTAAGGACAATGCCGTGCTTAAGTGTGTGGGGAGGTATCATTTTTTACTGACATGCGATTGTGTGTGAAATTGGTTTGCTTGGAGCCTAGATGTATGCCCAAATTTGAAAATTTGAGGGCTCCAAGCATTGCATGATCAAAGTGGCCCGTGTGTCGGCGAATCTCGTGTTTATTGCCTTTGACCTTGGATTGTTTACTTGTGATCGAGTGCATCCTTTTATGATGATTGAGAATTTCATTAGGTTGGTGAAAGTGTTTAGTTCTCATATGTGTGCAAATGAATGGATGTCTTGACTTGATTACTCTTTGATTACAATTGCCATGCATCAAAATTTTGTGAAATAAGAATAGATGATTGGGTGGTTAGGTAGCCACGTGAGTTTTGTGTCGATTGTCTTTTTCATGTGTGATAAATCCCTCTCGCCATGGTGTGTCACATTCACCGTTGTCACTA